TCACATTTATCTCACTACTCCAACATACACTCACCAAGCACTTAATATTAGGAACACCACACTTACACTGGGTAGTTCCTCCCCTTGCTCTCAGTACAGCCTCAGTTTTTCATGTCATGGATTCCACAGGATGTTGGAAACTGTCCTTTGAGATTCTGGTTCATGTGACATGACTGCATCGCATCATTCCTGCAGATTTGTCTGCTGCACATTCATGCAGCAACCTAATCAGCACTGAATGACTTGACACCCGATCAGAGACAATGACAGTAAAGCTCTCTTAAATCTCTTATCTTTTTGAGAAATATATACATCTATAAATCATCAAAAACAACAAAAAACAATGTTCTAACTTTAAACTTTTCTCAACTGATGTGAAAAACTTTTTTGAATCTTCAACAAAGTCTGTCATAGTAAAGCACATAAAACGACTGAAGACTTTAAGAGGTACATTTGATGCTTCAGTTGTTCAATTTGTACTGTTCCTACTATAATTTGTACATTTTGTAAATAAATAAGGAAGAGTCCAGATAGAGCCCTTGCAAATGTCCAGTTAAATTTTATTATGACTGATTTCTAAACTACTCTATTACACAGACAGGTCAAGTATTGAAATGAATTATTTGCATTAGAACTATATGGACCAATGAGTAGCTGTTGTGCTGATTGTAGTGGTTTGTAGGAACAGTAGCAGCATGTGGAATATTGACTCCTGCTGCCCCCACATGGTCGCCGGAGGAAATGCAACACTCCACTGCTGCAGTGAAACCAGTTACTCAGTTTTAACAGATTAGTAAATAATAATCAATAACAATAATCCATTAAACTGACATAGTCTACTTTAAGACAGTGATCTAAATCTGAGGTATTTTTTAAACACAGAAGGAAAAGAAGAAGTAGCACGTACTAGCTCTCAAATTCTCATTATTTTATTATTTTATTTATTTTATTCAAATAATTTTTTTTCTGTTTGCACACCTAATTTTTCTGTGCGGCTGTAACTTAAATTTCATATCGGGGATTAAAAAAGTCTTATTTGAACAAACAAAGGTTTTTGATGCAACCATATATATATATATATATTGCTTACTATATATATATATATATATATAGTTTTTTTTATATTTTATCAGCCTTTTAATCAGTTTTTACAGTCTGGTCCTGTACATTTTATTTAAGATGTTTTTATAATATTTGTAATGACAAATAAAGATAATGAACTTAAACTTGAAAGAAGGCTGATATTTTCAATTCTGATCATCTTGTGTAGGACTGATTATGCTGAGGTATTCTTAGATGCTATTCATACTAAACAGAGCCAAAAAGCTCTTTACCCTCACAGGAAGTACAGTTTATCCATTTATTTCTCTCTAAACTTGTGACTCATCATATTGCTCCTCCTCCTTTGCACTTCAGGAAGAACCCTGTGACGAGAGAGAGGCATGCTGGGATACATCCACCTGCTGAGGGCAGAGGTCATTGGTTTGATCTCCATCGGGGGGAGGAGGTTGAGGCAGGGAAGGAGAAGGAGAAGGAGAAGGAGAAGGAGAGGCTAGAGGGGAGTGCATCATTGTAAAATTAATTACATTTATCAATTAATACCTTACATAAAATAAAATAATTACAAAATAATAGTACTACAAATAAAAATTCTAATAGTATCAGAAAGAGATATGTTGATTTATTTAAAATAAATTAATTTCATTCATATTAGTTATAATGATATTTATCATTTAGTTAAGTACATTTTTAAGTAAATCTAAAATAAATATATAGAAATTCAAATAATAACAATGAAAATCATTGTAAGTAAATAAAGCATTAAAGTTAAAGGCCATTTATTCTTGTGTTTTTGATTTCTGAAAGGCTAAAAAATACGACACCCTAAAAACTCTTATGCAAAGCATCTCTCTTTCTGGAGCTAGTTCAATTTTACAATAAATACGTTTTCACTATGTATGTTCTTACTTTTTGGGTTATGTAAAAGTGATTTTTTTCTCACCTGAGGAAGGAACTACAAAAGTGACCCATTTCTTCAGTTTGTTGTGAACAGTGTTAACTGCTGCAGGACAGAACAAAAACACATACTGTAAGTTCTATTTCTAGTTCTACTTTTCTTTGTGTTATTCACTTGATTTTTTGTCACATGTAGGAATAATTATCTTATTGATTTAGAGTACTGCAAACAAATTGAAAGGGGAAATCTTAAAAGATCTGAAAGGTTTTGGTTCAATAACACCTACCTCTGCTGGGAAAAGAAGCTGCTGTTGAAACCCCTGGGTCTGATCCCGAATCTGAGCCAAATTCTCCCCCAAGTTCCTCATCAGATTCTGCTCCAGGCTCTCCTCCGGATTCTGGTCGTGGTTTTGCCTGGAGAAAGACCCGGTCCAGCAGCTGGTCCAGCAACTGGTGCGCGTGGTCTGGGTCTGTTCTGATTGTCAGGATACGAGAGGGTTGTCCAGCTGAGATCTTCAGCTCCGTGAGGTTTCTGAGGAACCAGAACCCAGAGAGATGCTTCAAAACACTGAACCACAACATGCATGCATGCACCAAATGTTAGGCAGAAAAGAAAATTTCCATCCACTATATGTGAGTGTTAGGAGTTGACCATATCGAGATAAACAGTTGGTGGTGATAATCTCCAGTTGGCTGCCATTAAACTACAGTGGTTGCTCTTGTGTCTGGGACAAGAGCAAGAGAGTAAACACAGAGAGGAGGATGTGTCTTCTGAGCGAGTGCGTACTCTTGTGAAAGAGCTTTACATAATGTCGCCTCTGTTTTGAACACTCATGTTGTTTGCAGACGCTGGTAGATGTTGTCATCTCCCCAAATTTGATCAGGGCGTTGCACTTTGTTGCTGCTCCAGGTCAGACTTCGGCCCATTCTCTGGCCGGCTGTTGATTTTGCTCTTCCACATCCTACATATGCCGACCGTACCTGGCTACAGCAGCCGTTCAGCTCAACCTTGCAGCTGCCGGCTTGTAGGTCGGATCACCTCAAACATACCACACCAGAATTAACTACTCGCTCTACAGGGTCTTGGTGGAGTTGTTTGGCGTGCACCTGATTCAACCAGGCTAAACGACACACGTTTGAAAATGTCTTAAATGCACAAGATGAAGATCAAAAACATCAGCGCTGACAGAAGAAAAATGAATGTGAACAGTGCTGGATCAAAGTTGTTGCAGATTTGAACTGATGATAATGTCGGTTCTTACCTGTTTCTGCTTCGTCTGAGGATCCAGCAGAGAACCATCAGAACCATCAGAACCAGCAGAAGAACCACCAGGGACACGAAGAAGAGGTCAAAGGTCACATCATGGGTCATCGTCACACACCTGTTTTAGGGTTGAAAAAAAAAGAAAAAAGTAGATCAACATTAAGGTTTAGAGTTTATTCTTGAATTGAACAAGGTCAATTTAGTAGCTGTTCTGGAGCTTTCAACTGCATAACAGTCTTCCGTAATAGATGGAGTTTGGACCTCAGCTTTTAAGCCACCATGAATGAGACCTCTTTAAGGGGCTTAGAAAAAAATGGATATTTGAATAGTTCCTAATTCAATGAGTGTGAGAAAACTCCACCTGCTGAGGAAGATCATGTTATACAACTGAAAACACCAGAACAGCTAATAAATGGACCTTGCTGTCAGACTGATTTCCCAACAGAACAACACTGTTGTTGTAAATGTTGTTTAAGGAACTTTTTCCATGTGATTTCTTTGTTGTGGGAATACTGTTAAAAATACAAATTTACTGGACTCAGAGCAAAATCTTAAACACTTTTAAGGTGAGAAAATATACATCAAGCAGGTAAGAAACTAAATTAATTTCCTAAGGAGATTAATCCTTGACCACATGGCCTATATAGTTACTGTAGTGAACAGCCAGAGGATGCCAGCAGCACTTGTTCAGCATTGGTTTAACACAAAGTCACAGTAATATGTACAACAAATGTCACTGTAAAATATTCCTCTTCAAGCATATATTGATCTGCAAGTTTAACATACCCGCCTGTCCTGTTGGGATCCTGTAGTTTGTAGAAAATCAGTCTGTTGTTCAGAAATGATCTGCTAGGTTTCACCCCCTGTCATTCTGAGACAGTTGAAAGAAAACATTCTGCTCTGTTGATATTTCTTAAACCAACCAGAATTGTCCAGAGACAAACTCCACTAAGATGATCATCATGGGAAATCTCTGTGTCAGGAAACCTTATTGTTCCAGCAGCATCTACAAGTAGAGCGAGTAACTTAACCCTAAATCCACTGTTTTCAGTCAGTAAATTATACAGTATGTCATTTTAGTGAACTATCAGCTGATTCTGGTTCCAGTCTATAGATTCACTGTATAAGCAGTTTGTTGTCTTTTCCAGGATGAATCCAAAATCAATCTAGACATAGTCATCAATTCACAGAACTGTGGTTACGTATGTAACGCTGGTTCATAGGTGCATAGACCCGTCTCAGACTTGTTTGAAAATGCAAATGCAGTTTTGGATTTCTGGTTTTTCAGTGTCAGGTTTTATTTTCCATTTTCCATTTCATGATTTGTTATTTCAACTTGATTTTTGTTTCCTTTGTCTCAGCCGCAGATTAGTTGATCAACACAAACAGGAAATGAGATATTTGGCAGCATATTTTAATCAGATTAATATGGATCAAGGAGTCAGTGTTTTTTTTTTTTACAAAATGAAATTCAATAATTCATCACAAACAAGGTACAAGAGAAGACAAAAAAATCATTGTCATAACTTTTTATATTAAAGCACCATCAAACAGTTATCAACATTATATTAATCTTAATCTTAGGATTAATAAAATATCACAAATGAATACTTACATTCATATTTACCCTGATAGAGAATCATTAGGCACCATGGTGATATAAATAAAGTTTTTATAACAGCAGAAATAAAAAATAAGGACGATAAACAAAAACAGGAAGAAGCTCTAAAAATGCTCAAAATACAATTATAAAATATATACACAATATTTGTGTGTGTGTGTTCAGACAGCATTATTGATGGTGTTATTATTATTGATCTCCATTCTGCTGATCAGTTCAGTCACCAGCTGCTGCACAGTGTTAGAACGCAGCCGGCCGACCTCCAGGACACCCTCATGGTTCACACTTTCAGAGTCCTCATAGCTCTTCACCACCTGATCAATCAATCAATTAATCATTCAATAAATTACACTGCAGAAAGTCCTAAGAACTCTTTACTAGGCAACATAGATCAGTAAGTCATTCAATCAGTCAGTCAATCAAATCAAATCAATTCAACCGATCAATTTATTGATCAGTGTGTTTTCTGTGTGTTTACCTTGTTGGTGATCAGAGAGAGGCCAAAGACTCTGAGACCGCAGTGAGTCGCTACGACGACCTCAGGAGCCGTACTCATACCTGTAAACGCACAACACCTGAGGGGTTACTGAAACAGGTCACAGCAGCACTGACAGTACTGTGAATAATACTGTGAATAATACTACTTGTACTTTTTGTACTTCTAAGAATACAGTCACTGTAGACACCATGATCAAGGTAGATCATCCTCTACAGGACAGATTGCAGATTTAAAGTGGAGGGGTTCTGCAGAAAAGCTCGGAGAGTGCTACCTGGTCAAGACTAGGCTTTCAGTATCCCAAGCATTTTTCTGAGATGATTACCAAACAAGAAGGACGCAAGTGTCATTTAGACAGTTTGATTAAAATTGGGATTTCTCAGCAGGGCAAACATAGCTACACAAAATGACCGTGCATACAAACGAGGAACTGAGCAGCTAGTTGAGGAGAACAGAAAAATGTGAAATAGTGCGTCATGTCATTTTCTGGTTTTGCATCTATTCAGAGCAGTAGTGGTTAGTGGTTAGTTCATACTGTCACAGTAATGCAGCCTCTAGGGGTCGCTAGCAGGACTTTGAATTTCTGGTTTCCGCGTGTGTGTGTGTGTGTGTGTGTGTGTGTGTGTGTGTGTGTGTGTGTGTGTGTGTGTGTGTGTGTGTGTGTGTGCGCATGTGTCGTACCGACAGCATCCACCCCCAGTCGATGCAATAGTCTGGCCTCAGCAATGGTTTCAAAGTTTGGCCCTCCCACCATGGCGTACACGCCCTCCTGCATGAGGCTGGCCACGCCCTGCTGCTTGGCAATATCCAATGCTAGGCAACGCAGGCCTTTGTCGTAGCAACCTGACATGGCTGGGAAACGAGGACCGAACCTGTAAACAACAAACAGTAAACAACACGATCAACAGCTGAAACAAAACAATAAAAACAGCAGTATCAACACTTTGTTTCCATGACAACTGAATTCAAACACAAGCATATAACATCATGATATGATCACAATAAACAACAGGAGTGTGACAAATAATCAAACAACCACACAAGAACCAAATAACTTATAAAAACAGAAGAAGAAGAAAAACAGACATGAAACAGTGATAACAACAGAACCAGGTCATACTTGTCGTCGTTAGGTCCACTCAGCGGGTTCAGACCGACCAGTCCAGGGAAGTTAACGTGGTCTTTGATGATCATGATGTCACCAGGCTGGAGACCGTCAGCCAATGAGCCTGCAGCATTTGTCACAATCAGAGTCTCCACGCCCAACAGCTTGAAGACTCGAACTGGAAACGTTGTCTGACGGATGCAGAGACACACACACAGACTTTAAATACACTAGAGCACCAAATGTGAATTAATCTGCATCTGAAAAAAGTCCCCAACAAATTCACTATTTCCTCCTGTTTGAGTGACTTTTGTTAAAAGTAGTTAAGTTAAGTGGCCAGATGGTTTAGTAAATTACTGAGCCTTTTTTTTTTTTTTTTTAATGAAACTATATATTTGTGAGATAATTTTAAAGATTTATGTCTTCCAGTCTAATGATTATCAAACATTATCAATGATCAAATCAACTTGTTGCTCTCAAGTTTTTAAGTTGAAGGTCTTTAAGATTTAATGGGAGTCCACATGTCATTTTGGTTCCACTGCCTCTATCAGAGCTACAGGTTCATATAATTAATATAGCAGATATGATAATGTTTTAAAATAATTTTTAAGATTGTAAAAACATATGATCATATTTGATGGTCAATTCCTATTCATAGTCATTTTAAACAACTGGAAAGGAATCACATGCAGTTACCTCTTGACTCATGAGGAGTAGTAACTTTAAATTTTATCTGAATGGTTTTTGTGTTAGTTCAGCAGTTTCGTTGTGAAGGAGCCTCTATACAGCACCACCTGTGTGTGCATGAGAGTGTGTGTGTCTGTGTGTCTGTGTGTGTGTCTGTGTGTGTGTATATGTGTTATATAGAAGGAAACAATAGCAGCATTGAACAGTCTGCTAAAAGGCTGCATGTGACTGAACCCATGCATGACCTGAGCTGGGTTCACACACACAAACACACAGACACACACACACACACACACACCATGTTACAGGTTCAGGTTCATGTTGCTGATTACAGTCATATGTGTGTTGTACCAAGGTCTTGTGACTGAGTTACTTTGATCAGCTCACTGTAAGTGTTTGTGTGTGTGCGCGTGTGTGTACGTATATGTGTGTGTGTGTCTGTGTGTGTGTGTATATGTGTGTGCACACGTGTGCATATGCATGTACTGTTTCCAATATCAAGGATTTATTTGTATCTATTAGTGGTTGTTCTGTTTGTATTTAATATCAGTTAAATGTGGAGAAACTCTGAAATGATGCATTCATGGCAATGTTCCAGTGTGGGAAAATGAAGTTAGTTTGAATGTAACACAGCTTTATGGTTTTTGTTTGCAAACACAAAACCACAAGAAATACAAAAACAGAGTTTCAGTCCTTGAGAATGAAAACATTTTTCATACAGTGAAGACATTGTCCGCCACTCATTTCTTTAAAGGACTGTTCGATTGTTCAGACTTGGAATAAGCGTGTAGGATAAGAAATTGATTTGTTCTGTGAGGGTTCCCACAAGTACAGTACAGACATATTTGTGTGTGTGTGTGTGTGTGTGTGTGTGTGTGTGTGTGTGTGTGTGTGTGTGTGTGTGTGTGTGTGTACCTTGCAGAGTGAGTGTCCTTCGTACATGTGGAAGCGACCCTGCATGCACACACATGTCTTCCCCTTCAGTTCCCCGAAAACCAGTCGACCTGCATGACCCTGCACTGAGACACACACAGTCAGGATCACAGTGAGAGGCAGGACTAGTGATGGTAATCAAATCACAAAAAGTTTACAGCTCGCATGTAAATCAACCTGTAAATAACACAACTTTGGAGTAGTTTTCTTTTGATGGAGTTAGGCTAGCAGTTTCCCCCTGCTTCCAGTCTTTGTGCTAAGCTAGGCTAAACACAACCTGTCAGTTACTACTCATGCATGCTGTAGTCAGTTTAATCTTTTAATGGTACCAGTAATGTTGTCTGCAGTCTTTGAGCACTTTTGTGCGTGAGAAAGTATATAGTAATATTGATAAGAATAAAATTTATTTATAAAGCACTTTTCAACCTTTACACGGTGCTTTAGGAGAATCTTGATGAAACAATTCAGCACAATGAAATTAAATAAAATCAGATCACTAAAAGTACAGAGATGGTATTCATAAAAAGATTTTCATTTTTAAATGATTTTTTTAAAATACAACACGAACTGTTTGTGCTTTTGGAGACTAAAAGTACAAACAGTTTGTGAATTTAACATGGCTGATTAATTGAAATTTTAACATAGATTTACAGTTGTTGGTCTTAATTAGTTTTGTGTCTTCAGTTGAAATTAGTGGGCTTTAATTTTATATTTGGACTCTGTAGGACTACTACATGAATTTACAGCTGCAGAAAATACTTACAGTCTCTGAACATATATAAAAACACGAACTGTTAAACAATAAATTAAACAACTGTGAAAGAGTTTGCTGTCTTGCACATTACAAAACAAGACGAGGTCGAAACCTAGTACATGGCTCGACCGTGTATGGTCAATGTGCAAAAATTGATGACGTAGTTGTGGAACCGTTGTAAACAACTATTTTCAATTCAAAGTAGCTAAAGCCTCCTGGAGAAGTGTCACTGGATGACGTAACACACCAATTACGTCGTTGCATCGTATTTTCATTTTGCCACAATGTCAGTCGGTTTCAGCTCGTTATCTGTTTGCTTCTCTCCTACTCTCTGTTCCCACATATAGTGTTTTAATACAGCCGACTTCCCACTAAATCTTTTCTCATTTCCATGTCTTTCTGTTTCTGTTGTCGGACAATGGAACAACGGCCCATTAAAACTACATGTTAAACAAGCCATTTTTCTGACCAAAACAAAAATCTAGATGCTGTCAGTTGGTGACAAATCTATTTCATACTGTTAACATTAAAATGAAACTTCATATCCACCTGTGCTCTGGGGGAAGCCTGGTATGTCAGAATAAGCGAAGGAGTCCTGACACTTGAGGGTGTCAGCGAGCATGCCCAGTCCGGACCCGCAGATTATCGCCACCTGGGGACGGTGTCTCGTCTGAGACATCAACCAGTCAGCTGTCTTCTGGTATTCGTCATGACTGCGGACAAGAGAGAGAGGAGAAAATTACCTTTGATTATTTAAGAAATAAATTATCATCAAGTTTCTGCTAATTCATTCTGAAGGGACTACAGCTCTGAGTCACACCTCAGAAGCAAAGCTAAAATAATTCAAACTGATAGTCAGAACATGAACCTATAGTATGCTCAAATCATCCTGGAGACTCCTGAGTATCTGTGTTGACAAACATTGATGATATCGGTAAAAGAACATTTTGAAATGGGAGTTTGCAGTGGTCAGAAATACTTGAATGATGAAGATTAGCTGTGCAGAATGGGTACAAAAATACTTCATAGTATAATTTATTTCTCCTTTCCTGTAAAATACATAGTTGTCACACCCTTTGTCACATTTTCTTCCACTGCACCTACATGTAAATTCCAGTGGGAACCCGTACATACGTTCATGCAACTAAAGTACACTGTAAATCCAAGGCTGTTTTATGAAGTGTTAAAGATGTTCAGTTATGTCCTGGGGTCAGTAACCCAACAAGGGATCACAAGATAAATCTGAGGGGTCACAGGCTGATTAAACAGACTGGAAAGAAGAACATTATTCTTCAAACTCTTCTAATGTTTGATTTTGTTTTTTTGTGAATTACTGAGTAATTTCACATTTTCAGGCGTCTGGATACGATTCAAATAGAGAGAACGTTTTGCTTGAAATGGTCACAGCAGAAATATGCAAGGACAAGAGGACAAATACACACTGTCCATAGTCAAAAGCCAAAAACCTTTGGAAAAAAATGTTCTAAAATAAGTATACAAAAAGATCTTTATACTGGAAATAACGCAACAGCACAACATAAAAACATATATTTGATACATAAGAGTGATGTGAAATAGGAGTTCTCTTACCTGATCTGTTCTTTGCTGTGCATGATGGACGGATGACAGACAACTGATGATGACGATGATTATAAAGCAGAATGGATGTGTGTGTGTGTGTAGCAGAGAGCAGCCTTGTCACTAACTGTGCGTGCGTGCGTGTTTGTGTGTGTGTGTGTGTGTGTGTGCGTGATGGAGGAACAGTCAGAGTGCGGCCAGCTGATGCTGATCGGCCTAGATATTCACTGGTCACATGCTCCTGATTGGTCAACAACCCGTCCATTCAGCGGCAGCACCCAATGGAGACACAGTGTGTGTGTGTGTGTGTGTGTGTGTGTGTGTGTGTGTGTGTGTGTGTGTGTGTGTGTGTGTGTGTGTGTGTGTTCTATCTAAACAGGACCCTGGGAGTTTTTTTTTTGGTTGTGTAAGCAGGGTCTGGTTTTGCGTCACGCCCCCGCTGACAGTAACGTGATTTTACTTCAGTGTTAATTCACTCTAACTCTGATCCTGAGGCTCAGCGCGCACACACACACACACACACACACACACAGTCAGTTGTCCAAACACACACTGATACAGTCAGACTAGATGTATGAATATGGATGGACAACATTACAAATATTTACATGCACACGCAGACTGCAGTATTCATTACAGCCATAATGAACGTGTTGAGAAAATAAACACAGACAAACAAGCGCACAACCACACAAAGTTAAGAGTTAATTTCAGGTCACTCTTTCACTCACTCAGGCAACAGTGACACCTAAATTAGCACCAAGCGCACAAACAAGCCATTTTTCTGAAGGAGATGTTTATCTTGTTTTCCTAAACCTCACCTGCGTAGGGTGCAGGCCAAAATTACCTTCACTGTGTTATACAATGGGTTACTGTTTGAACACTTTTATGACACTTCTCTCCTCTGTTGCCACGGTAACCAGGGTCATATAGATAAGGAGGTAGGAGGAAAGCCTAGACTTAAGAGAATATTGCCCAAATCTAGTTAGTGTCAAGGATGAGCTAATTTGGGAAAAGAATAAGATATGTGACAATGAGGATTTCGGTGACCGATATTATCTTCACATATTGTTTAGAGTAAAGTTTAACCTATGGAGCAAGGTCTGGTAAAATGTTGCAACCATGTGATACTATGGGGCATATACCCATGGTCAGACAAGACATCTTCAGAACTTGGTGTGGCACTACTATAATTCACTTGCTCATCACTTTCTCCGCAGCGAGTCAGCGTTCAATAAATACTTCTGCCTGAGATATCTGACCTCCTGGTCATTGTGTTTTCTTCAGCTTACAAGAATTTCAATCACAACAATATCCTATTTATTTTTCTTTTGTTTATGATGTGAAATTAGGGCTAAACGATTTGAGGGAATTTTCAATAAAAACAAACAGAGCAAGATTGTCATCATTGACTCTTTGATTGTTTTTGGTCTCCAACTCCTGAGGCAACTATCGGGCTCTTTCATTGCTAAATGCTCCAAATGTTCACCAGCAGCGTCTGTCTGCTGTTTGGTGCTGAGCAGGAAGGGTACTGTGGGTTGTTTCTGTGAAACAGCTGAGTGCTGCGGCTGAAAACGACACCATGAGAGAGAGTGAACCAAAACAATGACGTTTAGATGGCTAAACAGTGAGCTGAAACTCACTACGAGGCTCTGTAAAGCTGCAGATTCTGGAGATTCCCTGTGGGGAGAAACTCCTTTCAAAATGTCATTTGCTAAATTATTGTAAAAATAGCAATTATATCAGCTTTAAAGCAATAGTTTGACATTCATGTTCTCGCTAAGAGTTAGATGAGAAAATCTATACCACTCTTATGTCTGTGAGGTAAATATAAGGCTACAGCCAGCAATCAGTTAGCTTAGCCTAGCATGATGACTGGACACAGGAGGAAACATCTCGTGTGTTTCTGTCCAACCGTAACAAAATCTATCTGCCTACCAGCACTGCTAAAGCTCACTAATTAACATCTGTACCAAAAATAAGAAATGTAAAAACAACAATTTTCTGTTTTATGTGACGATTTCTAGATCGGAAGCAGTAGATATCCTAACTAGTTTTTGTTGTTAGCTTGCTAGTGATTCAATAGCTTGCAGCAGCAGTTAGCAAGTTATCAACGTTTACTTGTAATTTCAACCAAGCCTAGCTGAATGAACCAGGAATGAACCTGTAGCTAGCTGACAAGCTTCGAATGAGCAAACATCAGCTTCGCTCATTATGAATAGTTAAATTCTGACATACTGCAGCACAATTAAAAATGTTACTAGATCAGGTAAGTTTGATTAGTCAGACTTAGATACAGAGCTGGATTTAATCTAGAAGAGGCAAGTTGGGCAGTGTAATGAGCAACCATGTTGTATCTCATGACCACTAACACACTGCACATGTTCCCCTGCTGCTGCTCTGATCAGCTGCTGCTAATGAGGCTCATGTGGATCCGATAGACTAGGACCAGAGCTGGCCTGGAACCGGTCGGACCAGAAGAACCGACAGGAAGTGAGCTTTTATTGTTCCCTCTTCCCAGTCACACCGCAGTGTCAGTGTCCATCAGAAATGAAAACCTGAACTATTAGCCGACTGTCAGTACATCTCCCCCTGCAGAGATGAAAGCTGAATGAAAAGCTAACAGGTCACATATGACAACGATGTTCTCCTGTCTGAAAATAAAACCAATTAAGCCATCTGTACTTTATCCAGTCTCTTGTCTTTTAGTCTGACACGTGCCCCCCGTGTGTGTGTGTGTGTGTGTGTGTGTGTGTGTGTGTTTTATTTAACAGAAGCCATGTGGAAGCTGGTTAGCAGGTTAATGAACAGAGCGGAGCTGGTGGTTAGAGACACAGACAGACTGATGTTAGGCCATATTCAAGAAATGTTTTACACTGACACATACTGTACAAACACACACACACACACACACACAGAAAGGCACAGGTCTAATTAAAAGTAAAAAAAAAAAAAGAAGAAGCAGTTATCACTTAGTGAATTACATGAAACACTGGACTTGACCCTTCTTCTTGGAGCAACATTTTTTTTTTAGCCATGCTAGCAGAACGGTTTCAGGGATGGCACTGTTTGAATGTTTGTCGGTTGTTGATCCATCACTTTGGTCCAGACTTTAGTATCTTGACACACACATAATGAGGAAGTCAGAGTCCAAAGCCTCTGAGTGTGTAGGGGACTGTACCTGAGGTTGAGATTTTTGTTCTTTAGTGAAATGTCTCAACAGCTACTGGATAGATTGGCATAAAATTTGGTACAAATATCTATATCCCCTTCCGGTTAAATTGCAATAATTTTGGTGATTCCATCATTTTCCATCAAGTGCCAGTGTCAGGTCAAACTTCTATTTGTTCATTACCAATGGAGCTGCTGCTGCTGCTCCTCACTGAGTTCGGTTAAAATTAAGGATTTACTGTATGTGAAATAATCTCCAACAGAAATCTGATCAGTGTTCGATAATCTTCTTTTCCTGTCTAAGTCTTTAACAGATAAATTTGTGTAATTTGACTTTAGGTTTTACTGTGACATGTTGAACTTACTGATATATTCCAGTTTTAGTTTCCTCTGCTGTGCTTTCTTCTCTTATATAATTTATGGAAGAAAGAATTCTTAACCCCATGCAGGTGAAGTCAAGTGAAGTGCTCTTTAATATCAGTTTTACATGTACACAGAGGCGTGCAACCATATTGCACATCTTTTGGCAAAAGTGCAAAACATCAACACAGACAATTACCCAATAGGCCACATTGCACCATTTCACTGGAAATCTCTTTAGCCAAACATTCCCCGAAATCTGTGTTTGTTACTTCCTATTATTATTTCAAAATAAGGCTTTTAAACACCTTCATTCCAGATGCAGTGAGAGAGAGACTGGAAAGTTTGGGAGAGAGAGAGGGATGACATGCAGCAAAGGGCGACAGCTCATCGTGACCCAGCCAAGTCTCCTTGTTTGCGTAGAGGTCAGATTAACACTGAAATGTAAAATGAATCAAGTCAGGCAATGAACTCCACACAAAGACAAAACACATGTGTTCAATCATAACATCATAATTTCCCTCACACGCTGCTCTGGATGCCGCTGCCTCCGTGTGTTTAATGCTCAGCTGAACGCCCAACATTATTGCCATCCTTCACCTCAGTCAAAATGTGAAAAATGTGACCACGTCCATTAAAATGTCATTCGCATATTTGGCATTCTTGGACCTATGTGACCTATAAGTAGTCGGCCCTGTCCTGCACATTCTTTATCCCTGCGGCCTCACCTCCATGAGGCCGGAAAATGTGCCACAGGATTTTCACACAACACAGTAAAACTGAGAGTAGCAGTAGCAGTAGCAGTAGCAGTAGTAGTAGTAGCAGTAGTAGTAGCAGTCAGTAAATATCTGTTACCAGGTGGCACTACTTTGACACAAGTCAATAAAAAAAAAAAAATCAGACAGTAGTTTAAGAACAGTCTGATGGTGAGATCAGCTCATCAGCACAATAATGGCTGGTCAGACATCGGTGGTCATGTGTCATAGCGGAAGATAACTGATGATTTATCTGGGACATCAGGCTGGTTTTCAGCCACGTGAGCAGCATGGCTCTGTGGGTGGCAACATCTGATTATTGCATGTAGTGCCATGAAATTTTTTTTCAGAAATTCTTGGTCCCCAGAGGCTGAATCCTTGTGACTCTGGGGATCCCCTGACTTTTCCTCAATCACCATCATCAGGACAAAATATCAGTTTGCTCAATGACTAAATACCTGCAGCTGTACTGTACTATGTTTAGTGCTAAAAAATATTAGCATGCTAACACAATAAACTAAGTTGGTAACACTGGTACAACATTGATGAGAACAACAATGTTTTAACTGTGCATTAATGGCATCCAGTTCTGTATAGATTATAAACATTTCATGCCTAAATGTTAAAAAACACTGTAGGTACATATTTTTACTCACACAACGCTGGATATTTCTCACATGTGACTTAAGGAATATGGTCTTAGAACAATGGTCAAGTTCCTATATGAACAGTGAAACAGATTTTCATTGCCGTAATCATTCATCTTGAATTAACT